AAAAAAAAAAAAAAAATGGATGCCAACAGATGACACAGCCAGCTTTGGCCACTGCTGCTGCTGCTGCTACCAGCCAGTGTTGGCTTGTCCTGCCGGTTTCTGTAGGCGTTGCTGGTCTCCAGAGCTTTTCAGGGCTAACAGCCTGTAGTGTTTATTGCTTTCTTTTGAACCAACCACTCTGTCCACACTACTCAGGACAAGAATCTAGAGCAGATTTACAAGACTTTCAGAACCCACATTACTCGAATAAAACAGGTTTACAGGAACTCCAAAGCACATCTTGGAGCTGCAGCACAGGGGTCCATACACAAGAGGGAGCCTTCTAAACTAAATGAGAAGTAGCGGGCCTGTGGTCCAAGTACAGGCTGTGATTGGTGCAGGTCTCCAGGACAGCCGATGAGGGGGCAAGGCTGATCTCAGGGAATCTTCTGGAAGGTTAGCTGAGGAGGTTAGGGGTGTTAACAGTAGGCCAAGATCCCTCCCTCATTTTAGCCAGGCCCGGGGACACCCCTCCCTTCAAAAAGATAATAGCGGCTGACAGCTGAGCTGCACCTGTGTTGGAGTGGAAGGTGGGAACTTGAGCCAGGAGGACATGAAGCAAGTTGTTCTGGTCCACTGGGAGAGGAGGGTTTGACAACCACCAGCCAAGCCATGTCCTCCAGCCAGTGCAGAAGAAATGGGAGAGTCAAGCACTTTTGTCTCAGTGACAGTTTTGTGCTCTGCTGTGTACGCGCTTGTTGTCCTGTGATCAGATACCTGGGATAAACAGCTTGGAGGAGGTTCCTTCTGGTTCAGGGCTTCAAAGGCTTCCGTCCACGGTCAGTGGTGCTGTGAAGAAAGGCAGAGCAAAGCTGCCACCTCAGAACAGCAGAAAGCAGAGGGCGAGAGTCAGACAGGAGAGTGGGACAGATGTGCCCGCAGAGGCGTGGCCCTATCACCTGCTTCCTGGTGCCCGCTGCCACTGGCGAAGGAGAGCAGTGCCCTGGAATGTGATCAGCTCTGTACATCGCCGTACCAGGGATCAAGCCCTTGGTGCATGAGCCTCAGGAACACCAGGTTTGCACCATGACAGTCTGCTTGACTGATTAGACCTTAGAGCAGACCTGGTTCTAAAGCCAAGGAGCTTGCCAGTCCATCTTCTGTGTCACTCTCCTGTGCCAGATCATGCACAGGAGACAGCACCTTGTGATACAAGAAAGCATTGCCAAGTGTTCTTGACCCAGGGCTGTGCCTATAGAGCCACACCAGGTGTGGGGACCAACTTTCCCCTGCTGGCTGTCAGAGATGCCTCCTTGAGCCTGGTCTGTGAGGAACCAGCTGGCACATGAGCATGAAGGATGTAGTGTCCTAAATGCTTTTTTTGAATTTCTGTGGAGTGTCTTTGCTTTCCCGGGCCGAAGGCAGGGAGGTAGGAGGGAGGCTCAGGCCCCGCTCATAGGCTGATAGAGAGGAACTTGAGTCGTTTCCTTTTTACCAGGCACATTTCTAAACAGCTGAATGTTAGCTTCCTGTCACAGTGACAAAACACCCAAGGGAACCCATTTACAAGAAGGGAGGTCTACTCTGATTGTGGTTTCAGAAGTGTCAGCCTATGGTCACCGTGCCCCCTGGCTTTGGAGCTGTGGTGGCACCAGGCGTCATGGCAGAGCATTTCCTGAAGAATGCTGGTTCCCCTCATGGTGACCACAAAGCAAAAGGAGAAGAAGGAGCAAATCCCCTTCCAGGGCACCCCGGGGACCTCCCTTATTTCCACTGGGCTCCAGCAGGCTGTGAACCAAACCTTCAGCATCTGGTTTGGGGACACTTGGATCAAACCACATGGCCCAGATGGGGCCACAGTGAGGGTGGGGCACATGCTGACTTGCTGCACCCTGTGGTCTTGGTGCTTCTCGTTGCAGGCTGACTGCATCTGAGCCAGAGGTGCACAAGGACTGACAGGGACAAATGAGCTCCTTCAGGAAGACCTCAAGGCTGCTGGAGATGGGCAGGCAAAGGCAAGCCAGAGGGGCCTGTGCCGTGGGAGCCTAGAGTGGATTGCTGGAGTGTTACAGGGCTTGTGGGGCCACGTTTCTGGACATAGCACCTTTCTGATCCTTCACCCATCCTCGCCCAAAGTGGGAGAAGGGGAAACACCACTTTACCTTGTCCTTTAGTTTCTGAGGTGTGGGCTGGGGAGAGCAGTGGGATTGGTGAACTATTTTGGTTTTTATTAGTTTACAAACAGAACTTGTAAGTTCAATACATGGCATGCAGGATACAGCTCGATGATCAGGGTGATGGAGACCCAGTTCCTCAGGAATCTTCAGGGGTTGGCTCCAGAAAGAGCAAGTTCATGGGGAACTTCAGAGAGAACCACCTGTGGGCCTCAGTGCAAGTGGCTGGGGAGCTTCAAGGGTGGCTCAAGGAGCCTCAGGGTGGTGTGGAAACAAAGGCCCAAGAGGATGTGGAGGAATCATGGTCACTTGCTTTTTTCTCTGGAATATGGCTCAAGCCAATCTGGACTTATAGCTTCCAGCATGGTCAGAAGTCCTAGGATTGGTTCCAGTTTACACAGACCATAGAGCTCAAGGACAGAAGACAGAAAATGAGCGACAGTCCCTGCCTACCAGAAGCCTCAGCAACATCTGAGTTCACATTCTTTCTGTGCACATTCTGGGTTCACATGCAGATCTCGTGTGGAAAACATGACCTGACCAATTGAAAGTCTTCCTTCTAAGTGTGTTGAAGGGGAGAGGAAAGGCCACACATCGTCCTTTGGAAAGGAACATGGTCTTTCTCCCAGTGCAGGAGCCAGAACAGTTACACTGGTGTGGCAAGGAGACCAGGTCAGAACCCTTCTTGCTGTGGGTGCCAGCAACAGTCACCTTCTTGGCCTGCTGCTGTCCCATGTCCATGTGGAGTCCCTGGAAGACAAACGAGGGGTCACTGGCATCGTGAGGCACCTGGTCTTATCACAGGAAACAGCTTCCTGGGTAAGTCCTGATGGGCTGACTCCTGGCAGTGAGGTGGGGACTCCACTCGGTGCAGTGGCCCAACCCTGGACAGAGCACTCAGGAGGGTGGACCCTGTTCTGTGGGAAGGTGCCACTGGCTGCGTGGATCATCCCATGGGCTGGAAGTAAAGGAAAATGAAATCTACTCTCTGTTTCAGGGTACCTATCTGTGGGGCTGAATAAGGAGGGTCCCTGGAGGTTTTCTGGAGTTCACCCAATGTCAAGGCAACATAACGTATCAGCTTCAGTTTTAGCTCTCAAGCTATAGGTTTGTGAGTTCTGTAATCTGAGATGCAGGAAGTCCACAGTTCCCGTGACAACCAGCAGGTACAGTCCAAGGTTTCCGTGATGACCAGTGCAGATGCAGGAGGGCTCAGGGATCTCATAAACTGTGAGCATGGATGCAGGCGGGTCTGGAATTGCCTCACTTTACAGCTTTGGATCCCCCTAGGGTCCCAGCATGGCACCCCTTGGACGGACTTCCTCCTTATGCCTTGCTCCCTTTTCTTCCAGGGAGGAAGATCTTTTCCTGGCCCCCAGGCCTCTCACCATATATCAGTACGTAGTCGATCCTCTCTTTGAGGCTGATCCTGCTGCCCTGCTGCTAACTGAGGGGACAGTGCAGAGGTGGCTCCGAGAGGCTCAGCCGCACCCAAGACCAGGTCAGATCTAGCAGAGTTGCAGAGGACAAGTGTTGGGAGACAACACTGGTGCTGACATTTGCCCCCGGTGACAGATGGCACGAGGTGTTACAGAGAAGGAGCCCTCTCTGGCTACTGGTGTGAGCTCTAAGATGTGTTCCTTGCTCTGAGTGTCTTTACAGGCTTTTCCCTTGCCAGGACCCAGGCCTGAATGGACTCACCACAGGAGGCCCTGACTGATCCAGGAGAGCACAAGGCAGGGCTTTAATCTCCTGCTGAAGTCCTGCTGACCTCGATGCAGGCTGGTGAGGCTTATGGTTCCCAGCCTGTCCCCCGTCCCTGCAGCCTCCCAGGCCTGAACCCCACTGGACCCTGGACCTGTTCCTTGCTGGGGCCACTGGTGAAGGTGCGGGCAGAGTGTGGGGGCGGCTGGGTCCAGGTGTGAAACCCAGGGCTCCTTTCCCCTGCTTGGGCCGTGCCCCATCCTGGGCCCTTGGTTTATTCTCTAGCTGTGCCCCTTGCTGTGTCTCCCTGTGGGACCAAGGTCTCCATCTTGCTCCATGTCCCTGGGTCCTGAACATGCTGTGGACTGGCTATGTCTTTGCAAGGTGCGGAAGCCCCCCTCGACCTCCCACCCCACAGGCCCTGCCTCCTAGGGCTCCACCTCCTTTCAAGAGGGCAGCAGGGGGACACAACCTTCACACAAGGCACCTAGGGGACACTCAGGCTCCAACTCGGCCAACTACTGGTGAGTTTGGCTCCTGCCCGGTCCCTAACCATTCTGTGGCATTTGGCAGGCACTGCACCATCAGACTCGTGTGTTTGCTGTGACCTGGGCCCTGTACCTGCTCTTCCCAGGGTCCTGGGTTCTTCGAGGCGTCAGTGATGATGTCCCCACGCTTGACCCTAGGGTTCGCTGAAGTGGCAAGTGGGGCTGAGTCCCTTCTTGCCCTTGCAGCAGGCATTCAGGTGGGGCACTGTCCTCACATCCATTCTGCGGGTAGGGCCACTGCTGTCTGGGGAGGGCCCAGAGTGGCCAGCCCAGGAATACTCAGGGGAGAAATGCCCGGCCGTCAAGTTGCCTGTCCTTCCCAGAAATACCCGGTGCCGGCACTTGAGGGTCTGTGGACACTGAGCTCACGCCTCGCCATCCAGACCAGTGTATACAGGGCAGCTCCCAGCCCTTCACTTCTGACGATGGTGAACACACACTCAAGGCACCATTTCAATCACATTCCTGGTGTAGCTCAGGCCAAGTAGCAAGGCTGCCACCAAGATGGGGTGCTGGGCTCTCAGGTGAGCTGGCTGGGGTCATGGGCAGTCCTGGGTAAGAAGGAGCAGAGGCCAGGACACTCTGACACCCTTCCCTGTGAGCACCCCTTGCGGAGGAGGAGGCAGCTCAAGGGTCCAGGTGAGGCAGGATGGGGCAATGCAAGAAAAGCCCTCGAGGCTGGGACGCTCAGCCTCCCAGAGGGTGTGCTGTGTCCTGGGCCTCTGTTGCAGGACTGGGCAGGGTCCGATACCCATGGTACACTCTGTGGATCCAGGCATGTGGGCTGTGTGACCAGGGTCCCTGCTCTGGGTCCCTAGGCCTGCCCTGCCATCATGGGGCAGTACCTCACAGGAGGGAACTGGTCCCTCCCCACCTGGCAACCGGTGTCTATTTTAATTCCTAGGAATGTCATTAAGATCAAAGTGGCTCTGGAGCTCACTTGGGGGCCCTGCCCGCTGACAGACCTTGGACACAGCCTGTGCCAGCCTCGGGCATCAGCTGGCTGCTCTCCCAGCACCAGCACCAGCACCACCAGGTCCTGGCCCCTTGAGGAGGCACTGCCTGGGTCCTGGGCTCCCAAGAGTCTGGGAAGCCAGGAGGGCAGGGGACAGGCGAGACTCAGCTGCTCTTCTGGCCTGGCAGGTGGCGGGTGCCGGGGCCTTCAGCTCCCCACATGCCATGGCAGCAAGGGCACTGCCTTCGTTGACCTCAGTACCTCTGAAGTGACCTTCACATGCCACCCCACTGCTCCAAGTCCCAGCACCCTGTCCCCGAGGCAGGTCCTGAGCAATTTCCCCAAAAGATTTTCTCACTCGACCATGGGCAGCACCAGCCCCAGGTGAGTTCACAGACAGACAGGTGGCAAGGCTGCTACCAAACACCCTGGGCCTGAGGGGAGGGCACTGCCTCTCCCCATCACCCACTGGCCTGGCCCGCTGGGTCACTTTTCTTTTGGGTTCAAAAGCAGGGAGGGGCTGTGCACTTCTAAGAGAAGGTCAAATTCTACCCAGGTGTGGTGGTGCACACCTATAATCCCAGTATTTGGGAGGCTGAGGCAGGAGGACCACCTCGAGTCCAAGGCCAGCCTGGGCTAAACAGCATGGCCCTGTCTCAAAAATTAAAAAAAGGAGGGAAGGGCGTCAACTTCTGGTTTTGGTCAGAATCTTATAAACACTTTGTCTCACTTTGGCGGCGCCATTACAGTTTGAGGGACCCAGATGCTACTAGCAGAAGTCAAAGTGCTGCTCCACCTAACCAGTGACGACTCCTAGACCAGCCCGCCTCAGCCTCCTGTGAAGCCAGCTTCCTAGCAGTGCCAAAGTCCTGGCTTTTCCTGTGGCCACTGTGTCTGTCAAGACTGAAGTCAGAGGCAAAGTCTGCCAGTGTGGCCCCCACCCCACGCAGACCACTCTGCACCCCGGCACGGAGGAATGAACCAAGGGGTGCTGGGATGACTCAGTGGCAAGTGCTCGCCTGGCATGCACAGTGCTGCCTGCACATCACACATCACGTGTGACAATGCTGACCACTGTTTCCTCGTGCAGTGATGCAACCCCAAGCCCAAGGTCTCAGTAGGAGCTGGTGAAGAGCTCACCCAGCTTCTGTAGCCAGCAGCCCAAGCCCCACTTCGTCATTTTCAGTTGTCCGATGTCCTGGTGGGACAGGCGCAGGGGTGCCGGTTTCCTGTACTTCAGGCACAGCCCCGTGGCACTGGGGGATGTGGAGGCCACGTGTGAACAGGCTTCGGCTCTGAGCACAGCTGCAGCATGGGAAGCAGTTGCCAGGGGGGACAGTGCCAGTGCTGCGGCAGCCGCTGCCCTGCCTAGCCTGGCCTGCGTCCCTGTTCCACGTGTCGGCTGGACTGGGTGCTCAGCTTCCTCCCTTGCTCCCACCATGGGGGTGGAAGGACCAGCGGAAGCTGGGGAGGACAGGAAGCTCCGGCTCATGTCCCCAACGGTGGCCTCCAGGGGGAGCCAGATCCTCCTCGCACCTGGTCTTGGATCTGTTCCCAGCTGTCCTTCCAGAATCCTAGCAGGGTGACAGCTCCGTGCCTTCTCGCGTGCTCCTGTGGGTGGCCTGCTGGCTTCACTCTGTCACCTTCCCCATGAGGATGGCAGACTCCTTCCGCGGCTCCTGTCCCCACAGCAGTTGTCACCGGGGTCTCTGTGCATCTCTCCTGCTCTTCCTCATTCATCCATGAGGTTACGGTTGGATCTGCCCCGCAAATCTGTTGGCTTCGACAGTAATGAGTACCCAGAGCCACTGGGGAGAGGACACTGGGAGTGGACACTGTGGAGCGGCCTCCACGGTTCTGGGAGGGGGCATGGCCAGCCCCCTCCACCCTCCCTTCACTGGATGAAGGTTCCCCCACCCACTCCTTCCTGTGTAGAAACCCAGAACAGAAAAAACAAAGGGCAGAGGCTGTTTTTCCAAACTGAGCAGCTCTAGGGGCAGATCCACAGGAAGGCTCTGGCCTTGCTATCGGTTTCCCTGCCCCGCCTTCCGCCTTTTTAGAAATCCTCCGCTCTTTGCCACTTTGCTTCAGCCTCTCTGTCTGTGGGTGGTAAATGGCTTTGTCTTCGAGAGACAGATGTCCCTGATGCAGCCACTAGCATAGCGACCATGTCAGCTCCTGGTGAGGTGCTGTGTCCAGAGGTTCCCAGGTGTGGCACAGGAGCAAAAGTGCAGGTGTGGGAAAGGGAGTCAAACCACGGCAGCAGGGAGAGTAGCCACAGCTCTCCTAAGCTCCGTACACAGGGCAGGGGCCTCACTGTGGTGTGGGTGCAAGGGACCCTCCTCAGCTCTGTCCCGCCTGGGAGGCTGGCCACCGTGCCGGATTTCTTCCACTGCAATTCTTCAATACATATGTGCTCAATGAGTTAATAAATCAATGAGTTAGAACTGTTTATTCATCACTTATTGTCAAACTGAAGCCTCACTGTAGGTTTTAATTTCCCACTTGATAAGGAAACAGTCTGAAAATTGAGTGTCTTGTCCTTGGTGCCAAGGACTAATGGGGACACCAGGATCTGAGAACACAGGTGCCCCTCATGCAGTTCTGTCCCTTGTTCTGCAAGTCTATGCCCCTCGCCTCTTCAATCATGGGTTCCAGGGATGTGTTTTATTATCTTCTTTCTTGCAAATCCAGAGGGAGAGGGACGCTGTCCTGTAAATGCTGCTGTGTCTGAAACACTTCTCTCAGAGTGAAGGCACCAGAGCTGAACCTTCTCTTCCTGCTCAGAGGCCCCGGGCCCTGGCTGCATCTGAGCTCCCAACACCTCTGCAAGCTTCCTGGCATGGTGAGGCCATCAGGTCGAGGGCACAGCGGCGCCTGTGAGGGAATTGCCGCTGAAGCGTGCAGGGCTGCCCCCGAGTGGGTTTTCACAATCCAAGTACTCAGCTGACAAGAGCTCATGTTGCCCTTTTGACTGTGATACAGCTTGTTGTTAACGGTGTATTACGTTTTGTTCATGCAAGAAATACCTGAGAAAAACAACTTGAAGCAAGAAAGATATACTGGCTCATTTCACAGGATTCAGTCCCTGGTTGGCAGCTCCAGTGGTTGTGTGCGAAAGCACATCATGGTGTAAAGATGTGGACTCGGGCCTTCTTCCCCACTGGGATTCATGCCCTGTTCCTGAAGTATGCAATCTCTGCTAACTGGAAGATCAACCCAGGGAATACCAGAAAGGTAAAGTGGAAAAAAGGGGAAGAATTTTAAAGAGCCTTATGCTCATAGTAATGGCATTTTGGAGCTACTCAAGTAATTAATATCTAGTTGTTCAACAGCTGTCAAGCCAACTCTGTACAACTTTCAAATAAATTGTCTTAGTTATTTTGTCATTGAGATACAATACTCAGCACCCACAACTTACAGGAGAGGTTTCTTTTGGCTCACGTAGTCAGCTAGCTCCAAGGCATGACAGTATGACCGTAGTGGAGAGGAGAGTTGCTCACAACAATGCAAGGGGAAGCAGAAAGATAAGGGAGAAGCCAGGGTGTGAGAGAGAAACCCTTCCCAGTTACTGCACAGTGACCCACCTCCCAATACCAAGTCAGCTACAAACAGCCATGGTCCAGTCACCCCCCTCAAAGCCCCACTTATGAGCACATGAGGTTTTGGGGGGACACCCAGCTGTAAGCTACAACATAAATCTATGTACAACTCCGTTTTAGAAAGGTAACATTTATACACGTGAGTCTTTCATGGCGACACGTTGCGGGTCAGCTCGCCATCACTGTGACAAACATCTGAGATTCATCAGCCTCCAGGGTGCAGCGGTTTCTTCCTTCTCACACATTGGCAATCCGTCCTGGTTGTCTGCCCCACTGTTTCCTAGGCTGAGGCGGCGCACCAAGGTGGGAGTGTGTGGTTCACCAAAACCTCGCACCACAGGGCCGGGTGTGAAAAAGAGGATGAGGAGACTGGTCTCACAGCTCCCTCTAAGGATGCGTCCTCCATGGCCTAATGTCCCGCTACACCTCACCCTCAAGGGTGCCACCACCTCCCGTGTGCTGACCTGCGCCGCATCCATGCCGTGATAGCACAACAGGACGCGCCACTGTGCTCCGCATGCCTCAGCTGCCAGTCAGGAGGCCCCTGTGCTGGCAAAATGAAGACACACAGTGAAGAATCATATGAACCTGACTGTAAGTATCCATCGCAGACGTTTTACAGCACCACTCTCTACCTGTTTGAAACAGATTGGATTGCACTGGGTTCTCACTATGAACAGTGCACAGATGGCAGCAGCCCTTCCCTTGCTCCCCGAAGTCAGTGATCTGAGTCCCTGGAAAGGCAGGTTTACACACCCCGCAGAGCCCAGGACCAGCCCAGGGTCAAAGTCACAGAAAAAGGCACCCATGGGGGAGGCAGGGCAGGCCGATCCAGCCTCTGGGAGCTGGGCACCCAGGCCGTGGTTCCACAGCCTGGCTTTCAGGAGCACAGGACAGCTTTACAATCAAGGAATCACTTGATGAGGAAGGATACGCAAAGTCATAAAAATGTCCTCCCTGTCCTGCACATGTGTGGTGATAGGGTGGGAAGCAGTGCTCTGGGAGCTTCTGTTGGAGATGAGGTCTCCAGAAGAAGAGGGAAAGAGAAGGCTGTCTGGAGGTCAGGGACTCTGAAAGGCTGCAGGGCGGAGAGGGCGGTTGTTAGCAGAGAAGGGCAGAAGGAGCTAAGCCCCCGAGTACCCCAAGGCAGGAACTGCTCAGCACCTCCTGGTCGTGCCGTACTGCTGGGACTTTTCCCTTCAGGACTCCCAACATATCTAAACACAAATTTTGGGCTAATTTTAAAAGTTATTCATCGAATGTTAAAAGTACAGTAATTATTTCTTTAGCAGTGAAAGGACCTTTTAAGTTTTCAGATTAATGCATGAGGCCTGTCAGGGTAGCTCAGGGGCCAGTGCTAGCCTAATAGCCCCAGGTTGTTGGTTCCAGCCCTAGCACTACAAAGCAAAGATGAACTCAGACAAAAAAGATGGAAGATCCATGTTGATGTTTAAATGTGTGCTGCAGAAGGAGTCAAAGGAATCAGATAACAAATGCATAAAACCTTTGTTAACATGCTGTTTATGTATTTACACTGATTAAAAATGTTGACCTGATGAACTTGAGATAGAATGAAGTTATACTGAGTTCCAACACGAGCAATTGCGTTCATCCTTACAGTCACTTCTAGGAGGCACTTGTACTGTCCCCGCTCTGCAGAAGAGACAGGACTTTGCACCCCAGGAAAGGGCTGTGATGTCACTTCCTTAATCACTATGGGGTCTCAGCAAAGCAACGGAATCTCCTGCCAGCAGAACAATATTGATGTTATTATCATGGTATTTCTGATTATGGGTCATCACTCTAGCTAGCTGGTCTTCGTGCATTTCACTCTGTGTCAATTCTCTGAACAACTGTAGAATCACCTTCTTTCCACCTAATCAATCAACAAATCAATGAATTGAACAGTACTCACTATGTGGCAAGTACCATGAAGAAGAGAGGCAGACTTGTGGCCATCAGAGCCAGAACCTGGCAAGTCTGGTGCTCATCCTGCTCCTCCTTCAGCCTGGTGGGAAGGAATGTAAGGAGGCACAGGCTCTTGTGCATTCAACCCTCTGCCAAGCAAGGGACCTCCATGGTGTCAGGAAGACCTCAGCAGGAGTATGGCTTTGTTCACGCTGTATTCTGAGGGTGTGGCCTCATTTAGTTTAAACTTCCTTAACCTTTATTTAAAATTATTATTTCAAAATAAAAAGCAAATGAATTTCTTTTGCTTTGAGAATATATATGGATCTACAGCTAGTAAAAGATAGTTTTCCAAAACTGAAAACACACAAGTGAGGCTGAGCTGGCTGCCCATTGGGATGCAACAGCACCCATCCTTTCCCTGAGGCTCCGGCCCACCTCTCTGATGGTCTCTTCAGCTTGGCCACTACATCTGGAGCTTTCACCTTTGGGGACACACATACTGTGTGCTAGAGCAATTTCCTAGCATTTGTCCTAGAATGCAAATCCATGAAAAGAGATCATTAACATTGCCACCACCTTCCTTCTTGCCAGGGATTCTAAAACTCTAGTCTGAGTGGCTTAGTAAAACCCAGGCCGGACAGGCTCAGAGGTTCAGGTTCTGCAGGTTGGGGGTGCACTGAGCACGTCCCCACTTGCCCAAGCCCGCCCTGGCAGTCCTGTGCTAGGCGGTGTGAGTTGTGGAAAACAGACTGCCTTGGTAATTCTGGGGAAGTGCTTAACGTCCTGTTTTCTCAACTGTACAGCACCTGCCCCACACCACCGTCACCAGGCTGAATCAGTCAACACAGGAAGTGCTTTGAGCTGCAGCTGGCAGAGGCAAGAAGTCAGTAAACGAAGGCCACGCAACATCATTGTTATACCAGGTACTAACTTCATTTCTTTGTGCCACTGAGACAAAGACGTGTGCATATTCTACCTCCTTTAAATTTCTTCGGTAAAGCTGCACACAGCAGTATACTTGGCTCCATCCATTCCAGTAGAGTTCCCCTTCTAATCTGTTAATTAACATTTAAAAATGAAAGTTAAAAATTAAGAAAAAAGGAAGTGCTGCAAATGTCCATGTATGCTAATGTTGAAATGGACACCGTCTATGAATCCTGTGAGGCAGACTCCAACTGACATAAATAGAAGTGTGTCAGATGGCTTTTAGGCATCTTTATAAACAAAGCCTTTTCTAGTTCCCAGCATATTGAAGTACCAAGTGAATCCAGTTGGTGTTCCTGCTGCATGAAGTTTAACCTAGGTGTTTCCTGAAAGAGATGTTTCAGGGAGCTAGGAGGCTTGCTTCACAGGAACGTGTCCTATGGGCCATGTTTCACCCATAAAGGGTTCTGGCCCCACCTGGGCCCTTGGGTTGCTTTAGGGCAGCACATGGGGCTCATTATCCAACCAGGGGAGGCACTGTGCCACCAGGAGGATGGTCACAAAGCTTTTACTTCCATTCAGAAAATCCACAGCTAGTTGATTGCGTTTGAGAAGCATCTTTCTGAAAACTAGCCCTTAACATCTTCTACTTCCAAATCTCAGTTTTAGCAGTCTTTAAAAAAGAGAACATCAGTAGTTTACTGAGAAATTAGCCTATTTATACTATTTTTCACAATTTGCTTCAGTCTCTAACTAGAAATTAACAATTATTGCTTAGTTTCCCAATGTAAAAAATGTTCTATTTTTAAAATGTCGTTAGTTGATAATTTATAATGTATCAAGTAATCTAAGTTGACTCCAGTAACTTAGTCTTCCAACTTCATTTTATGATTTTAAAACACCTAAAGTTTAAAATGAAGTTTTAAAAAACTGAATCGTTTACTTCATAAGTGGATATGACCCAGCAGACCTGTGCCTGGTTCAGTGCAGAACATGAACAACCCAACCCTAGGAAACCCTGGTTCTGAGTAGGTGGTGAAGGGCAGCGCCGGCTGTTTTCTCAGGTTCCCGTGGGCCTGGCACAGGGCTTTTTTGGTTTCTGTCATCTGTTGCACACGGGTGCACACAGCTGACGCCTTACCAAAGAACTCAGCTAACAAACTCAGGGTTTGCAGAGATAGGTTTTCAACTTTAGAGCGCAGCGTGATTTCCACTCAGGTCAAATGCGATGACGACGGCTTCCTCGGAAAGGCTGAGTCCGGGCGGCAGGGAAACTCACAAGAGTCTCCAGGGGCCGAGTCGGACCTGGGTCCACGGGACGCCTGCTGGGCAGTGTTTCCACGGAGCAGCTGAAAAAGTGGGATCCACTCACGGGTGTTTGGTAAGGGCTGTGGAGGAACTGACTAACGCACATCAGAAACAGGGAACTCGAACAGCCGCCCAGACCTCGCGACCTCGGAGGAAGGTAAGCAGCCTACAGACACTGGGTCCCCTCCCCGAGCCCCGCCTCTGAGAGCCCACTTCGCCCCAGTTTCGGCGCAGCTAGACCCTAGCCTTGGCGGGTGGTCGCCCCGCTCGCGCGCATCGCCTTGAAGCGCTGGCGGCTGCAAAGCCAAGATAAGACCGGCGCGGCTGCAGGTGCGCAGGCGCGGT